ATAATATCTGATATCTTAAAAAAAAAAAGAAAAATTAATTATCATTTACTTAATTATTTATATATATATATATATATATATACAAAATTAATTAGTCAATGGACGCAATGTTTTAACCCAACATGCGTGGGAGTCTACTCCCACCTCTGAAAGATCTTATCGCCTTTTGTTGTTCCTGTCAATATTCGATCTAGCTTCTCAACGCATCGTCAAATATTAACTCTTAAAAAATAAATATATATATATTAATATATATTTATTATATATATATATATTTTTTTACATATATTTTAGAGACAAGACGACATCGATATAAGAGGAAATAATTTATCGCCATGTTCGGAAGTGTCGAGCAGGCCAAGTTCTTCTTTATCATCAACATCTTCGGTTACGAAAAAAGTATTGAAGCGAAAAAGAAAAAGCGGAGGCAAAAACTATCAGCTAGCCGAGATGACAAATACAAGCTTAAATGACAAAACAACTAATTCTCGGATTCAAGAAGATTGGCTTGATATTACTGGGAAAAAGATTGCTTATGATCTTCGAGAGTTGAACGAGCGGCAGAGAATAATAGCGGAAAAACTTATAAGCGATGTTATATTCTATGCAAAATTAGATAAATTGAACGAAAATTATTCGATAACCGATGCACAACAAACTTTTTTCAACGTAAGATTGAAAAACGAGAGAGAGAATAATTCTTCATCGTAAAATTATTTCAATTTCAATTTTGTAAATTTCTGAATATATATCTGTGTTGAACATCGAAATGTAAGAGCATTAATCGAATGTAATAAAAGTTTTTAATTATTTTTCTAATTATTAAGAATTTGTGTAAAAAAAAAAATATTTGAATAAAAAATTTTTTTAAAAAATGATTTGTTTGTTGAGCGTTTTTATTTAATTTAATTTTCTTTAAAAACTTCGTATATATATACTTTCGAAAGTATTAATAAATTAAATTTAGAAAATCTAGCCGATTTTTTTTAAAAAATGATACCAATTACCAGAAAGAGCTCTCTACAAAATAATAGAAAAAATAATAAAAATAAATTATTAAATATAGATTAACATTATATATAAATTAAAAATGAGAAAATGTTGAAAAACATAGAAAGAAAAATTGAGAATAAATATTCACTTTAAATTAAAAAAAAAATTTTGAATAGTTAAAAATCACTTTAAATACAAAATACTAATAATTATTGTTCAATCAATTGTAATTATATCACACATATATAAGATTAAATCTAAAAATAAAACCAAAGATCAGATCTCAAACTAATTTAATTAATTACTTAAAATTAATTTAATTACTTAAAACTAATTTAATTTGAATCCTACTATGTTAATAAAATCTAAAATCAATAGAGACATAATAGAATTCGTATCAAGAATACGCTCGTTATGTTTAAAATGGAAAAAAAAAAAAAAACTTTGAAAAACAAACCTAGACTTACATCAGTAAACTTTATATAGTAGATAATCATCAGACTCACCAACCGTAATTAATCAAAAGTTGCGACAGCGATTTGGCAAAAAAGAACGTATTTGTTTCGACGATACAGAAAGGAGTATAGAGACAGAAGGGGAAAAAAAAAAAATAGACTGGATAGAAAGTATAAAAAAATGTCAGAACGTATTTCGAGGACAACGGTCGATTGGAAGATCTAACTTTGGTATAGGAAGGTACTCGATCGATCAAAGCGCAGGACCTTCGATTGACCAATAGGAAGTAGAGTGCCAGTCTAATGACTCTTGCTACATAACACGATACGTGATTCTAAAATCAAGATTTGAGGAGTTTTTGGCTTGGAAAAGAGACTATGCATTGAAGAAAATTGATTCCATTGAAAGGAGAATAAAAATGAGAAAAAAAATATAAAAGGTGAAATTTATTTTTCGCTTTAAGTTAGAGAATTTATCATTTTGAATGAAACGTTTACTTACTTATCTTATAATAATATCTTAAAAGCAAGCATCTTAATCTTAAAAAATAAAATTTGTATCAAGGATATTCTTATCTGATATAAAGTTATTGACACGTTGCCAAAGAGTTAATGTTTTCTATAAGGAAATTTAGGAAGAGGAAAATGTTTGTAGAATTTGTTTGGAATTTGCAATCCATTTGATAACAAATAATCAAAAATAAGGAAAAAAAATTACGCAATATTAAACTGAATTGCAGATTAGATTGTGGATAGTTTATAGCTTGGAATCACTTTTTCAATTTTCAAAGAAAATCAATAATGAAATTTTATAATTCTAATTTTTTTTAATAAAGTATTTTTATTTATTTATTTTTTTTAAGTATTTTGAAGAAAAGAATTTTAGAAAGCAATAAGAATTACAAAATTTTATCAAACGAGAAAGTTGATCAAGATTCATTTATAAAGATTACAAAAAAAGAATAAATTATTAAGATTTTTAATTGGGTAACGATACGATAAAGTTAATCAAAAACTAGTACCATTTCTCAAGTGCATTTGTACTTAGATTGTAGAGTAAATAGAGAAGAAAATAGTAGAAAAAGATGGAGATAGATTAAAAATTATGTATTCAGCGCCATCTTCAGAATGCCGCAAATGAAACTCACAAAGAAAGGACAGGAAATAATAAGAAAAAGATAGAAATAGAATGAGAATTAATCAATAGCGACATCTCTCGATTACTAAAGATATTTCGTCAGAAGTTTGTGTTTCCAAAAACAATCAACAGATGGTACTAATCCTAAATTCTTTATCTATTTTATCCTGTTTCTGAAAGATATCTTTAGTATTCAATAGATGGAGCTAAAGGTTAGATCTTATTCTATTTCTATCTTTCTCTCATTATTTTCTGTCCTTGTATA